TGATCTTCGTTAATATTTTATTTTAATTCCTACACATGGCTGGTTAGTCTGGTACAATTTCGAATACTTTCTAGACTGAATGATGACTTCTGATTATACCATCTCTGTTTATACACTAAATAATAAAACAAAATAATAAAGCGTAAGGAAATCATTTGACTTATATTGCCTGAGGATACCGAAAGGTTGAAACCAAGGTAGCGTGATTGGCTGATTTTCTAAATTTTTAAATTTAAAAGCTGTGCACGTTAAATTTTTCTTTTCTTTGTATGTGTATTGAACACTTTTTACTAAAATTGTTTTCTAGTTTAATCTAAGTGACCAATAACTGTTTTATATACATGTTTTATATATACATGTTTATATATATATATATATATATATATATATATATATATATATATATATATATATATATATATATATATACATATATATATATATATATATATATTATATATATATATATATATATATATCGTTAAATATAACAGACAATGAATGTTTATTATGTCTGATCATATGCCGTTCTAAATTTCGTATGTTTGCTTTAATTTCGGGTGAAAATAAAAACAAAAAATTCCCAACATTTAGATATTTTTTTATTAAGTTGGTCCTTGATCTAAGCTTTCGGCTGACATGAGCCATCTTCAGAGTGGTTATACGGATATTTTAACAAAGATATTAATTATCGAATTATAACCAATCTGAAGATGGTTCATTTAAGTCGAAAGCATAGCTCAAGGACCAACTTAATAAAAAAATATGCAAATGTTGGACAATACACACACACACACACATACACACACATACACACATATATATGTATATATATATATTTGTAATGTCAACGAACACTCGTTGCTACTTTTGTAATGCCAACGAATACTCGTTGTAGTAGAGACTTTGTAATCGCAGATACAACTATAGTAACGCCGTTGGGCAATACTAGTGTCAGACGCCTTCGAATAGCAGTCGCATTAATAGTACTTGCTCGATAATACTCGCTCGACAAGAAACCTGTAGAGTGAAATAGTATAGACGATAGCGGTCCGTATAGTAATAGAGGATAGATCAGAAATGATGATCCGAATAGTAATAGAGGATAGAATAGAAACGCGAACAATTAGACATACGCGACCTTCCATATATGCTTTCTGTATGGTCACGTGGTCTACTTAATTCAATAATGGGATTGCTAGTGTTTGCTCACTGGCGATCTATGTTCAAACTCAAGTGTCGGCAGCGACACTTTATTCCAATGTACACACACACACACACACACGAGCGCTAACGCACACACATGCATATATATATATATATATATATATATATATATATATATATATATATATATATATATATACGAAGGTCACAGTTGACATTGGGTGTATCAGATATTTAATGTTAATACCGTCTAGGTTGTCATGGGAGGCCGATTTGCGCAAGTGCTTAGTCACCCATTGTTTTTTTTTATATCAGCTGCCATGATATCCTAGTGACGAGCTACATGGCAGTTATAGAAAAGAGATTAGGGTTAAGAAAATACAAGGAGCTGTAATTGAAACGCGGATTGAAACTTTGTCCCGAATTCCCACATACAAAATGTGACTCAGAGGCTAAGACACAAAGTATTCACACGTTTTACTTCTAAGCATTAAAAAGTCATCAGACGTACACTTTCGCACAATTGTATTAGGGAAAGGCATGAACCCATTTCATTTCTCTCTATGTATATGTGATCAGCCAGTTTGATCTCCATTGTATTGTTAGAATCAGGAAAGACGAAAGATCAGCTGCCATGCTCTTGTCATCTAGAATTTTAGAGGTACACCTATATATATATATATATATATATATATATATATATATATATATATATATATATATATATATATTGAACAATAAGAAAATAAAAATTAAAATCTTTAGACACACTGGGTTGTAGATTAATATTCGTTTTTTATTATTATTCCATTTAGATTCCTCGACTAGTTTCGACCGAAATGGCCATCATCGGGAGGAGAAATATTTCTGCCTGCTGGTAGCAGTGAACTACAGAATATATATATATATATATATATATATATATATATATATATATATATATAAGAAAGAGGTTGTAGTGGTTCCAACGAGAGAAAAGTATGTATATTAAAAAGAACAGAAGAGAGGTGCCGCAAACGTTTTTGGTTGTAATGTGGATTTATTTAGAAAAAATATTATGCTTTGTTTTACATAATTTTACTACACGTGTTTCTGGTCTCGCGACCGTCTTCATGTAAAAGCGGAGATTTCCACATATTATTAAAAATAATTAATTTTTTCCTTATGTTCAATGCTAAATATTCTCGATATGAGACATTCTCTGTTTTTGTGTTAGCAATCCGAATTTCTTTCTTGAATTGGCAATGAAGAGTTCTGCACGAAGGGTCATAAAACAATTAAGGTTGGTCCAGCGAAATGGTGAATTACTTATCGGCATTTTATCTTTTAATGTTTTACTGACCCCTATGTGTTCTTGGATCTGTTTCCATCACGAGACCAGAAACACGTGTCGTACAATTATGTAAAACAAAAAGCATATTTTTTCTAAATAACATTACAACCAAAAACGTTTGCGGCACCTCTCTTCTTCTCTTTTTAATATATATATATATATATATATATATATATATATATATATATATATATATATATATATATATATATATATATATATATATATATATATATATATATATATATATATATATATATATATATATATATATATATATATATATATAATGTCGGAAACCTACCACCTTTGAAGATGAACTTGTCTGCGTCTGCGAACAAAAGACTTTAAATAGTGGCATGTCAGTTGACATGGGGAAGACAGATAGACAGAGAAGTTCTTAGCTGAGCTAGTTATTGACTACTCAGGCGATTTCTGTACCTTTTTTACCAACCTATTAAAACATTTTTTATTGTTACGTGTTATTTGGCGTTTATCTCTACTAACCCCAAATCAACATCATAACAATATATATATATATATATATATATATATATATATATATATATACCGTCGTATCATCTGCATAGATATCCACAAAAGAGCAGAGATCGGAGCATTAGCAGATCATTAATGTAAAGCTGAAAAACAGTTGAACCGAGAGGCGAGTCTTGAGGGATGACGCCTCCGTTGATCTTATGGGCCTCCAAATTATTAGACTTTTTCAGAGAAGTCAGCAGATTCCATTCGGATTATCATTTGAGAGTGCTTGGGTCCCTGTATATAAAGTCTAAGCAACCTTCGCTTAGTAAGCAGACGGAATAGATGCTGGATTTAAATGTTATTTGCCGTCTTGGGTATGACGATAAAATACATCCGATCGGTAGATTTTGAGGAGCATGGAACAATCTCTTAATTGCTGTTGTTAACAGGTCTACCCTGATCCGAGTTGGTAGCAGGTTAGGGTCCCAGCTATGGCTTAAATAGTTAATCCCAAAACCGAGGTCAAAACCCTATGAAAGTGTAGAAATACATTTTTATAGTGAAGGTGCCAGCAATACACTTTCATAGTAAAAAAATTACCAGCAATACATTTTTGTAAAAATAGATGTTACCTGCAATACATTTTTGAAAACAAAATATTACCAGCACACACACACACACACACAGACAGACACCCACAGACACACACACACACACACACACACACACACACACACACACACACACACATATATATATATATATATATATATATATAAGACAGTATCATGTATACATTTGTGTAAAAGAAAAATTGCCAGCAATACATTTTTTTAAAAAAGTAAATTACCAGCAATACATTTTTGTAAAAAGAAATTACTAATTCTCCCAAACTAAATTTCGGCAATAATTGACCCATGAGGAGTTAATATGTCGTTAGACAAAGGAAACAAGACAAAAGGTAAATGGCTTAATATCTATATCGTTGATTCTTTGGTAGTGTTATTTTTATTATTTATTTCTCTCTATTTAGTCGTTGTGCACATTTAGGTTTTGTCTTCGATTGAGATCTGAATAGCGAGGAGCGATAACTGGCTTTTTTTGTTATATTCGATTCTCCATTTTATAGTGAGTAATATTTTATTTTTACTTATTCTTGCTCTTCCTCTTCATTTACTATTATTTTTATATATTTATATATATCAGGATATACTTTCAAAATGTCCCCTTTTTAAAGCCATAATAACATTTCTTACCCAGCGCAGATTATTTGATAAATAATTTCCATAAATTTGAAACATACTTACTACAATTATATTTGTTTCAGGGTAAATATTATGTTTTTTTCTCCTCATTGCAAAATACAATAATTACAGTATACAAATCCCAACAGAGAAAAACGGCGAGCCAACAAAAAAGGAATATATTTTGCAAGAAAGTTCATTTTCGATTTAGATCCTCACAAGGTTTCTCCTTGTGCCAGACAAGGCTGCGTTGAATCTTTTAATTTATTTGCATTTACTGTCTAAATGGTAAGGTGTTCTTCGGAATTTCTATCAAAGGTCATTATATTAAGTTACATATCCTAAAGTAATTTCAACACGGATGCCCTTCGAGAAGACAAAAAATGAGTTACTGCGATATTTTCGTTTGCCTTCAGCCCAAATCTAACAGTTTTGAGATTCTGCGATATTAAACCAAGGGAGATAAGTACGTAGATTTTTCTGCTGCCTCCAGACATTATAATAAACAGGGTCAACAAAGCCAAGATGTGAATCGGACAAATGCCGTGCGTGATATATCGACACGTTTGCTAACGCTCGTAAGATGCTCGGAGATTCGGTGTTTAAATTGATAAAATGGAAAAAAAAAAATAAGCGATGGTGGAGGTGACACGATAATAAGATGAAACCTTATCGATATCCTAATGTGTTCGGAAATCAGAAGTAAGAAAAGAAGACGAAAACGATGTAATATATAGAAAGAGTCGAAGTGGGATTAAAAAGTAATGTAGAAATTAGAAGAAAGAGGAGAAAGAAAGATAGATGAAGAAACAGGGAGGAGAGAAGAAGGAAAGATTAAGTAAAGAGAGAAAACTCGAGAAAGAGAGAAGAAAGTTGATATAACGGAAGGACGTGCAGGAATAGAGTATGAAAGGAAGGTAAAAGGATATGATTACTGAAATTAGAAGAAAGAGGAGGAAGAAGAGATAGATGAAAAAACTGGTTGGACAGAAAAAGAAGAAAAGAAAGGAGACAAGAGACGAGAGAAAAAGAAGCGAAAATATGGAGGAAGAAAGCTAAGAAGATTTGGAGGAGTAGGAGGAGAATTATAAGATGAGCAGAAGGATGAGGAGAATAAAAGAGAATAGAGGAGGTAGCAGGAAGGGAAGGATAATAACGAAGAGGAAAAATAAGGAAGAAAAGAATAAGTAGAAAAAAAGGCAAAAGGAAGAGGAAAATGATGAAGTAGATGAAACAGTAAGAGAAGAAGAAAAAGAGAGAAAAATGAAGAAGTGTGACTAAAAGAAAAAAATAGGAGGGAGGAGCAGAAGTAGTAGGAGGAGACAAAAGGGTACAAAATAGACAGGGGGAGAAGAGAGGAGGAATGATAATGCAAAAGAAGCAGAAAGAGGAAGCGAAAGAAAAAAAGCAAGAGAAAGTGTGAGGAAAAGGCTGAGGAATGGGGAAGGTGATGTAGAAGAATAAACCGGGATGGGAATAAAAATAAGAGTAAGCGGAAGCCAGAGAAGAGGGAAAGAGAAAAAGAAGAAATATGAGAGGAAGAACAAGATGGACGAGAAGAGAAAAAGAAAGACATCATCGAGAATTATAAGCACAGTAGCAGGATAAGTATATACTTGAAATAAACCTTAGCATCGCAGTGTAACATCTACTACAACTTCTCATCGTAATAGTAAATGATTATTGACGTCTTTGTGGGCGGAGCTTCGATCTGGCAAAATAGTGCATTTGAAAGGAATGAAAAAAAGATGATAATAACAAAATAAAATGCCAATTTCGTTCATGCCTGTTCAGATCATTTGGGAAAAAGCCCAAATAACGCTACATGGTTTTGTTCCGTTTTCGGAACAGTAATTCTAGGAATGGTAGAATTCTTAATGTACCAGAATAGTGATCAAGGGAGAAAAAAATGAGGATCATACTAGTCCTTTGTATTTATTTAAATATATTGGCATGCCTTATGAAGGTTGGCACTGCACAATATGTGGTCATTTTCTTCTAGATGCTGCTGGTTAGAAATTGTTCAAGTAGGGATACACATTGAATTGAGTCAAAACGACAGATACTTTTAATGAAATCATAAATATCTATTATATACGTTTCAGTTCTCAAGGCGATTCATATCTTGGTTGTTATACTGAACTGAAAGGCAATATTCCTCGGTTTAAAATTTCTGACAGAAATACCTATATGTGGAATTGTGAAAAATATGTGTTCTTTATTCAAAATGTTGTCATATTTGGGTGTGAGTTATCCAGTTTCCGAGTCCTTTTGGGTGACAAATTATTTTCCGACTTCCAACCTCTCACTCACAGGCGGGATGTGGAAAGCATCCCCTGCTCTACCGAGACTACCATGGAAAGTGCTCGAACGAACTGCATTCATTGATTCCGCCAGTTTTAACCTTAACGGCTAGCAATGCCACTCACGCTGTAGGGAACCCCACCCACATTCCCTCCGTATTCAATCAGTGAGATTAAGTTCCACTCGAACAACTTCTTCCTGTGAACCACTGCTCTGTGAAAACGACTCCCAAGAGGATGTTTTCCCGATCACTATAGTCTTAACCTGTTCAAATCTAGGGTTAACAGTTATCTTCTAATCCTATCCACATAAACAGCCTCCTAGCGTAACCCACTATGGCGAGTGCCTCTGGCGAATAGAGGGTTACTTTGTGAGGCAGTACAGGGGTTTGTACAGGGTGAACGTTAAAAATATCACGATCACGAATCTCATCAGTGTCGTAGGGATACCATAAGTAGTGCAGCTGTAACAGCAGTGGTGTGTCTTGGGCAAGATAGCCTAACAGAACCCATCAATCTCCTGGCTGGTTTGAATTTCATTTTACTGTAGCAGCAATGGTGTGTATGAGGTTATTTCTAGATGATAAGTGCATTACCAGATCTCATCATTTTACACTTGAATTGGGCAGATGTAACCATAATTTCTATGCTAACAGTTTTTTTTCTCTCGCACTTCTCGCTGGAGGAAATCTCTCCCGCCTTCTTTTTTCCCATTGTCAATCGTTATCTTCTGTCTTTTTAATTCTTGTTCTTTTATTGTTCTCGCTCTTTAGTAATGTTTTTTTTATTATATTCCTTCACGCTAACTTTCTGCGATTTAGCAGTTCTATTGCCTTGCTTGGGGTGAAATGATTATAAAAAAACATCCGTTTTAATTAGAGTGGCCAATCCTAAGAGATAGAATATTAATAAATATAAGTAAATGTTCACTTATCTTGTTCTTATATTAAACTTTTATATAACGAATAAGTAACGTTAAAACATATAGTATTTACTTTGTTATGCTCGTTGAATACATTTTTCTTTGTTATACAATAGTGAACATCTATAGAAAATACTATTTTTGTTTTAGATATAGGTTCATAAATTTTGAATGAACGTACTGAAGTTTTTAATACAGAATACTCATAATCGAACTTCCACTGTAATTTTTTTTATTTGGAATTCACTGGTATGCGTGGATAGCGTACCAGTTATCAGTAAAAAGCCGAGTTCGAATTCCGGCTTAGGCTATTGCGTTCACTTTCGCACTATGTCATTAAGAAAAGCATGAATCCATTACTTATGCCACAGTTATGGGTTAAATAGCGATGAAAAATTGGTTGTCAGCCAGTCTAGGAGAAGGACCACTCTAAATTCAATATTATGGAAAAAGTAAAAGCAGTCCATCTTCTAAAGAAAATCCGGGAAATTCATAGCTAATAAATAAAAGGAATCAATGGTAAACCATCCTGACAACATCCTAAACGAATCTAATTATAAAAGACAGGGTTCCTGTTGTCCCTTCCGAGGCCAATGTACTGATGACGATGGCGTGGTGACGGTGGGGGTGGGGTCTATGATGATGAATATTCGTAGTTGGAATAAGAACGTTCTTGAACAGAAAATTAACATCCAAGTGTTCCAAGAAATAGGACTCCAAATAACCTTTCCAAAACAGAAATTATGATATGGAATTGGAACGAAAGCAGTGATGGCACTTAATCAGAATTCATGATAAAAGTTTCAGGATGTTGAATTAGTAAATACTAAACATTTGAAATAAATCTTGTATGGATCAGTTCTTATAACAAATTTAGTATAGGAGATAAGGAGATTGAACACAGGTAGGAATAGTTTCTCCCAATACCACAAATTGCTACAAAATCAAAATATTAACACAAAAACGTTGAGTCATGTTCTTAAATAGCCTCGTCAGATTGAAACTTTCATATGGATGTCATGAATGGTGCCAGACCCATTCAGAAATATTTAACCTGTCATCTCTATACAACCGCTTTCTCAGATCAACGATTACAAATGGCTTCGAGGGAATAAAGCCTATAGGTCTCAGCAAGAACCAGACTTTCTCGAAGAACATGGATTGGTGCTACAGAATCACAAAAGAACTGTACAAAATGACAGAAACCATATCACTTGAGGACATTCAATAACAGCAACAACTAAGATGGATAACACATGTAACTCGAAGAGAAAATAATGACATAAGATGTTGACGTTACAAAAAATACATATTATATCCCAGTTTAATCACAAGTATTGAATTGACATGACTCAAGGTGAGTCTTTTCAAAACAGAAACTATCGAATTGAAATGAAAGCAATGATTGCACATACGCTGAATCTATGATAAAACTTTCATATGAATGTCATGAATGGTGCCAGACCTGTTCAGAAATATTTAACCTGTCATCTTTATACAACCGCTCTCTCAGATCAACGATTACAAATGGCTTCGAGCCAAGCTTGACATTTCTTAACTTCGGATATCGTGCGAGAAGCGGTTTTCCACCTTATATGGACGTGATAGGACCAAGGATTTAAAATTAAAAAAACAAACAACGTGCCATTTGAACCAGAAACAAGTGTTTTATAACTATTTTTGTTATAACATTTAGTCTTAATTATGAAACTATCTAATTAAATTTAAGATAAATAACATAACACTTATATACAAAGAGATCGATTTTTATAGAGGCATCTTTTTTAGCGTAGACAGTATGTCTTTAATGCTAAGTTATCTTACAATGAGATTATAAAAGAGGGATTTATTTCTTTAATCCAGTCGCTTGAAGATGATTTTAATCAATTTAATGAGCACATTAGCTCTTTATTGCTAGGATTGCCGGGCTAATTTCAACCAAATTGCTTCTTATTAATTGTTTTTGACTGGGGATTAATTTAAAAACATATAAAAAGACGTATTTCAAAATTGCCAATAACTTAAAAAAAGTGTCTTACATGCAAATATGTGAAATAATCTTTTACACAATTTCTTATAGTTGCGATAATATAATCTTTACGCTTTAATGTAAAAGTGACATGACTGTCCATCCATATTAAAATAAAATAAAAAAATAAATTATCACACAGACTTCTTGTCTGAAGTTTGTTAATATTTTGTGCGAACTTACTAGCATTTATTTTGCTTTTATGCAAAGTTTCGACCGTCTCACGATTGACCTTCCTCCGGTGTCTCTCTCTCTCTCTATCTCTTCCAGTTTAGTTGTTGTATCAACCACAGGTGGGCTCTGCTGGTTTACAGGTGTGTGTAATGAAGATATTTTAAATGCTCTGGTAGAAGGGGGTGCTCAAAAATGAGTAGTAGCATAGACGTGTAACGTTATGGCTAGGCACGCTCAAAATAATCGACAAGGATTGAGATAGAGATTAGGATCTGGCACCAGACTAGGATTTACCAGTATAAGCCAGTCAGATGTAATAATATCAGCAACTTTTCCGATTAATGATTTCGCACATACGACAAAAGCCATGTATCTTGCTATTTGCACGAAGGGTACCATGTGTGAGTGTGTGTGTGTGGGGGGGGGAGTTAATACTGTTTAGGGTCATAATTCGAAATGGTAGTCTGTTTTGAGGCTTACTACCTCAGGACGGTTGCAGACAGCCACAAGGATATGTTGACCATGTTCACCAAGTCTATGAATTTCGAATACAGCGCAGTACGTAATCTGTTCAATAAAACAACGTTAACGATTAATACTCACGAGTCAGACACTCTAATGAATCTGACTATATCGCCAATACCACCAGCAGCTGTTCCGTAATTCTTCAGTCTTTGATATCAAAAACTGGCAGTGAATATTCGGGAAAAACATGGCCGCCTTTATACACGTCGCATTGAATGTTTTGAGCCTTCTGATTGGTTAAGACTTCTATTGGTGCACTATAAAATGAGTCAGCTCATTTGGGCTGGCTCACTAGTATCAGGGTACCCAAAAATTCCAACAGGATATGTTTTGAAGAGAAATGGATGTATAATATTTCAGATCATCCGGGTTATAACATCATCCTATTTATTCAGGTCATCTTTCGTTCTGTATAACATGACAGACTTCGATTTCAATAGAATACACGTCTCACACTGTCTTCAGCTGATTGTCTACCGACCGAGTTCCGACCTGAATTCGACTGGCCAAGCATCTACATCGCTTTTTATTGAAAATGCAAACAAAGGCAATAAATTTTGGGACATATTTCCTTTTCTCTTTTCAGCTGCTCTTTCACCGTAGTGGAGGACATAGATATGTGT